TGTGCGCCCTTGGCTTTCCCCCCCACGACTTTACCCACGGTTCGACCGCGTGTCTACGCTTTCGCACACTCACCGAGGTGCAGCAATTTTTAACAAAACGCCAAATTTATCCCTGGCGCGGGTTTAGTCCATGCCGCGGCGTCCTGAGTGTCTTGTTACGTTTCGTTTTAACTTTGGCTGCGCGGTTTCCACGGAGGCGGTGCGTGCTGCCATTGTGCTTGGCCGTGTTTACGTAAGCGCACGACACTGTGTGTGTGTGTGTGTGTGTGTGAGAGAGAGAGAGAGAGAGAGAGAGGAGAGGAGGGAGGAGGGAGGGGGGGGAGGGGGGGGGAGAGAGAAGAGAAGAGGGAAAAAGAAGAGAGAGAGGAGAAAAGGAGAGAGAGAGAGAGAGAGAGCGGTGGCGATTCCAAGGCATTGATACAAGTCCCCCGTTCTGAAGCTTGCCACGGGCGACGGCAACCACGGCAACACTGAGCCAACACCACCACACCCACGAATAAGAGGAAGAGGAAACAAAATGGTGGAAGGGAATTGGGCGGCAATCCGCACGCGCCTCGTCGCTCCGTCTCTCTCGCACTCACGGGGCGTCCGCCGCGTCCGGTGTGGGTGCGAGAGAGACAGCATCAGTTTGCAGGGAGCGGAGCAAGATGTTTGGTTCGCGGAAGAGCGGCCCAAAACACTGAGACATGCCGTGGGGAGAGGGCACACTGCAAACGGCCAGGAAAAGTGTTTCACTGGTTCGAAGGAAACACGAAGTAAACAATTTCCAAAGCGCTATTTTCAATTTCGTCGGAGACCTTCTTTCTGGCCAAAAATCCGCTCTGCTGCTCTGTGAATGTTCATTCATGACAACCGTCAGAGATTGCAGCCAGTTCAGGAAACCTTACTTTTCTGCATCACTCATTTTGTTGCTGGGGGTTTCCGAACAATTGTGACAGTAGAACAACTGGAGTCTTTGTTCCATCGGCTACAATTAGTACAGCATTTTCCGCCGTTTCGACGTCTTTTTTCTGTTTGTTTGTTTCTTTTTTTACCTGTCCCGTTTCCCTTTTGCGTTGTGCCCATTGGAGGAATAATATCGGGTTGTGTTAGGCCGTGTGTCGGGCTGCACGGCTAGCGCCCCACAATGCATCCAGGGCCCTGGAATAGGGGTGAGAGAGAGAGAGAGAGAGAGAGGAGAGAGAGAGAGAGAGAGAGAAGAGAGGTGCGCACGAGTTTCCTCTTCCAACCTCCACCCACCCGCACTGCGGCACGTCTCACCGGGTCTCTTGTATTCCTTTAGCCCCTCTCGCTCCCCCCCTTCCCCCCCTCCCCCCTCTCTCTCTTTCCTCTCTCTCCTCTCTCTCTCTCTCTCTCTCTCTCTCTCTCTCACCTCTCCCGTACATACTCGGGCAAAACTCCCCCCTGCGTTGAGCCCGGACCGCGCGTCGCCCAACGCCATGCAGGCAAACCGTGGAGGTGCACGACGTCTGTGTTTCAACCTGCGAAAGGCTCTCTTTTCCCCTCTCTCCTCTCTCTCTCCTTCTCTCTCCTTTTCCTCCCCTCTCTCTCTCTCTCTCTCCCCCTGCTACTTTCCCTCTTCCCCCCCTCTTTCCCTCCCCTCTCCCCTTTTGCAGCGCTAACAGTGCCGCTAGCGTGCCGCAGCATGCCGCTACAGTGCGCCCGTCCGCAAATTTTTTGGTAGGGTGCCGGCCGGCCCGGATGAACCGGATGGGGATGGACACACTGGCCTAATGCGCTGAGTTGGGTCGGACGTGCGGGCGGCTCGCGTCACGTCCGACGGACAGTTGGCAACACTATGTCGTTGTCATTCGTCCGAGCCCCTTCCGCACCTGTATCGCGCGAAGCACGCGAAGCGTGGCGATGACTCCCCTCCGCGCCTCTCAAGCCAGGCGGCAGGACGGCCAAAACTCTAGACGCGTTTTGAGCTCCAGAGTCGCTAAATGGGACTCGAACCGAACGTGTGACCCCAACAATGGACTCCTCGTTCGGAGAGCAATCCACTGGTGGGGTCACACGTTCGGTTCGAGTCCTATTTAGCGACTCTGGAGCTCAAAACGCGTCCGGGCTTTTGACCGCCTCCATCGGTCTTCTGGCCCACTGTGCCGGGAGTTCTACCGCCATCTGTAACCCAGTAAAACAGCCCGGTGTCGCTCTGCCTCGCCCCGCAGACTGCTTCCGAGAGTCGGTCTCGTCTCTCTCTCTCTCTCTCTCTCTCTCTCTTCTCTCTCTCTCTCTCTCTCTCTCTCTCTCTCTCTCTCTCTCTCTCTCTCTCTCTCTCTCTCTCTCGCACCTACACGGGACGCGCCGTGAGTGCGAGAGGGGCAGTGAGTCTCCAAGTTGTGCGGTTTGCTGCAGGGCCGAGGCGGGGCGAGGGGGGGGGGGGGGGGAGGCGAGGCGGCACGACAGCGTGTTATGGGGACTGTTCTAGCTTGGCGGCGCCCCGCGCGCCCTGCGGTAAAAGGACGGAACTTCGTCTTTAGCCCGCTAGGGGTGCCAACTGAGGCCGCGGCAGGTGTGAGAGCGCTAGGGGTGCCAACCGTCGCGGTTTCCCCCGCGTTATCAGGGCTGCCAACTGAGGCCCGGAGTGGGAGGGGGGGGGGGCGTCCGCGCCACTGTCAGAGTCTGACGCGTTTTGCGCCCCCTGGCGGACACTCGGGGCAGCGCGCGGTACGCGGCGCGGCACCACACTCGTTCCTCTGACAAGCAGACAGACGTTGGCGTATCGGTGGTTGGGGCTTTCGTTCCGCGGCGCATACAGTGGGCCAGAAGACCGGCGGATGCGGTCAAAACCCTCGACGCGTTTTGAGCTCCAGAGTCGCTAAACAGGACTCGAACCGAACGTGTGACCCCACCAATGGATTCCTCGTTCGGAGAGCAGTCCAGGGCTTTGCGACTCGTAACATTCGCAGCCAAACCTGCGTGGTATCACACTCGCACTGGGTACGATGCTCCACATCCCCGAGCACATCCCCGTTTTCAATTTCGAACTCGCCCCCCCCTCCTCTCTCTCTCTCCCTCTCCCTTCCTCGTTCTGACAGTGACCCATTTCGTCGGAAAACGTGCCCAAATTTACAACCAGCAGTACGGCGGATCACCCCGCCAGTGCGCCAGTCCGCCGCAGCGGCGCGGCGTCTTGTCAACAGGCAGCCTCCCCGGGAGCAGCAAATGAGGAGCTGAAATTTAATTAAAACAGGCGAATGTCTTGCGGGATGTCGGCCTGGGATCTCGAGGGACCGGGCGAGAGAGAGAGAGAGAGAGAGAGAGAGAGAGAGAGAGAGAGAGAGAGAGAGAGAGAGAGAGGAGGGGGGGGTGATGGGGGAGAGAGAGGCGTTGGCGCAGGTTTATGGTGTAGGACAATAAGGTAGGACGATCGTAATCAGGACAACGGCACTGCAAATCTGTTGTCGCCAAATAATAATAAAAACGCGCTGTCCTACATTCTCGTTCTTTCTCTCTTTTCCCCCTTTATTCTTCTCTCCGTCTTTCTTGTTCTCTTTTTTTTACAGCCGTCCGCTGGCTCTGCCTTACTTTTGGGGGGGGGAAACTGTGACGACATTACGGGACAGCGCATCGAGACGAACCGGGGAAGGTATCCGACCTTTAGGGTCCGCTTTGGGGTTTGACAAGGGGCCGGCGGTGTGGGGACGGGAACCCCGGGACGGGGGAAAGTTTTGGGTCCCGGGGAAAGGGGGCGGGGGTTAAATCATTGGAGGTGCACTATTACGCCCGCGGCAAGGTCAGCCCGTCTGCCCTTGCCCAGTGCTTACCAGCCTCGCCTGTCTGCCTCAGTGTCTGCCCACCCGTCCGTCTGTCTGTCTGTCTGTCTGTCTGTCTGTCTGTCTGCCTGCCTGTTCGTCTGTCTGCCTGTCCGTCTGCCTGTCCGTCTGTCTGTCCGTCTGCCTGTCCG